AGTCTCAGTGCAGAACATGGTTGTGCTTTATAATAAAAAGATCGTTAGGGTATCCATCTTTAGCTATACAGCAAAACAGACTTACAATGTATGGAGAAAAGAACAAGACTAAAACACACACAAAATAACATAAGTGTAACTAATGAAGTGGCCGGTGAGTGTATACCATACTGTATATATATTATATATTACTTTTAGATTTCTATTATATGCTGTGTTATTAAAACATTTTTTATTTTTGTTGTTTTGGCCATTATTCCTCACATCTGATACTCACCAAGACAATTATGAGATCTGGGAACACGGTGACATCAGGTCTACTGTCCAACCCAAGCAGTCAGACGATCAGACAGTACAAACAGTACTTCCAGATGAGTTTTTTTTTTTTTTACTTTTTATTTATTTATTTAATTTGTCACTTGCTGTTTCACTGAACAAAAATCATGACAAAACATCCTTAATGACAAAAATAAAAATAGACATAAAAGTAAAAATAAAATAAAAGTGGGTCACCACCTTTGATCCATTCTTTTCACACCAGCTGAGGACACTACCCATCTTTTCCCTTGTATACAGTCCATTTTCCCAAACGTTGATCAGGGATCTCTGCTGTGATCCTGAGATAAAGAGTCAATTTTTCCATAGAGTATATTTCCTCTACAATGTTCAGCCACTGTCCTGGACTTGGAGGGTCACTTCTCAACCAGCTCCTTGTGATGGCCTTTTTACTTGCGAGTATCAGGATTTTAAAGAGATCGATGTCCTTCTTTTGAATTATGTCGCCAGGTATCAATCCCAGGTGCTCAATCCGGGGGTCTCTGGGAATCTTGTAGCTTAGACTCTCCTCCAGAGTCTGAATAACTCTGTCCCAGAATGTTTGTATTTGTATACATGACCAGAAAATGTGTGAGTGGTTAGCATTCATCTGCCCACACTGTCTCCAGCATGGCTGCTCTTTACCCAACTGTTTGTTTTATGTGGGGTATAATAAAAAAGCGGATTAAGTTCTTCCAACCGAATTCCCTCCATCTTCTAGATTGGCATGGAATAGTGTTTCTTCCGTTTCGTTTTTGTAAACTCCTGTACAATTTGGAATCCAACTTTGAGGGGGTTTGTTTGTATGCACCTGTCAACACTTCAATCACTTCATTTCCTTCTGCTGAAATTCCTTTTTTAATTTCTGTATCATAGAAATGTCTTAGCTATAAATACCTGAACAGATCCCCATTTTCTAAATTAAATTCTCCTTTGAGTTTTTCAAAAGTTTAGAAAGTTTTTCCCTCCATGAGTGTACATACCGCTGTTATTCCTTCTTCTCTCCACCGTACAAATGTATTATCTAATACATTTGTATCATTAATCTTAGATAATCCAGATGAGTTTTTAGGTAAACACCGAAAGTGAGAGCTGAAATGTCAAACATATTTCATCATTGCACAGGAAAACTGTGTGCATGCAACTACAGTCAGTCAAAGTTAAAGCAGGAAGGATGATTACAACGGACAGTGTGGGTGATAGTAATCTCAGTAATTTCCTTAGGGATTACAATGTTAGCAAAACTAATACAAAACTACTCATCTCTGATGCTGAAACATATGGAGACTGGCTCAGCGGTAGGGTTGGGTTGTCCCGTAATCAGAAGTTCGGCAGTTTGATCCCCTGCTCCTTCAGTCTCCATGTCTAAGTGTCCTTGGGCCAGACACTGAACCCCAAATTTCTCAGTGTATACATGTGCATGTGAATGAACAAGTAGTGTACAGCTCTCTGAGTGATCAGTAGACTAGAAAGGTTCATGCACCCAGTTTATGTGAATCCTCAGAGGGTCTGGTGCTTCTGTGAAGTGCTGCTTGTATTTTGGAGGGGGGGGGGGCTCTTTTTGTATTGTGAACCTGAAAGAGATTGCTTAATAAGCACAATACCAGGCTTAACTTTTTTAGATGTTTTTTTAGGAATAGAGAAATCATCATTTATAAGTTGTTTTCATCAAAGTGCCTCGTGCTTCATCTGCTCCTCAATGAAGTAAACTGGGAAATAGATTTTACATTTTCACTATGAATCCAAAGGAATTTCACAACCCATTCATCAACCGTTTCCCCATCCTGGCATGTTCTGATTGGAGTGATGTTTACCACGGCCGTAATTTACCTTCTAAATCAAAATGAACTCAGGAGTGAATTGACTCTGTCCTGTCAAGCCAAGTGTATTGTCCCAGCTGAGATCAAGGCTTGATAAAATGAAGGTCATTCCAGTGTCTGAGGCTATCTGTTACGCCGTAGCAATCAACTAAATCTATTTTCCATCACAGCAGCCGCACAGGAGAAGATGGATTTGATGCACATAGACAGGTATTGAATTGCCAATTTCTGAAGGACAAACAAAACGGTCCCCCAACTGTTCGTATTTGCCTCACAGTAATGGCTGGTGTCCTGGTGGGACTTTCACACACTCTTTAAAGCACAAATAAATCCTCCTGACAGGCTTTTTCACAGTTTTGAGATAAATGACAGCATCTAAAGACTGTAAGCTGGAGTATTAGCTCTAAAAGTAGAGGACACATTCGGCTAGAATTACCATTTAAATCATTTAAGTGAGAGAGAGCAGCAAGCCAGCGGACTAATCAAAGCATTCAGTGCTGTGTCTCTTCCTCTTTAAGTGTCAATGTAATGCAGCTCTTCATTTTGTTTCCTGAATATAATGAGTGTAGAACAGGAGCCACATGTGGTTCTGTCTATATTCATATGAATCATTTAGCATTTAAACCCATTTTAATAAAAATGACTGAAAAATATTTGGAAAGAGCTTAACATTGGAAATAACTGCAAAATGTTTACTATACAGAGTTTTAAGGTTATGTTTATGTAATTCAAAGAACTTGAGTAACATCCAATGAAACATGGTGGTCTCGTGTCACAAAGACCAGCCTCGATCCACTGGCCAGCAAGTCAATCTATCTAGGTAAAGTATGAGAGCAGCTCTTTCTTCTGTCTTATTACCACCACTGAGGTGACCTTAAAACAAGACCCAAAACCCCAAGATGGGCTTTAGTGGAGCTGCTCAGTGACCATCAGATAAGAGTGTGGTTGTACTGAGCCCCTTCCAGCTGAGAACGTGTGGAAAATAAATGAATGAAAACAACAAAAAAAGGCATGTCACCCAGTGGAACAGTGTGGCTGATTGTCATTTATTGACATCACAACAGTGAAGAGAGGAGTAAAGGGATAAGGACAGCTTAGTGCTTGTCAGGTGGTCCAACAAAGAGTGACCAACCCTCCCCCTATTGGGAGGCTGTTTCCAAAAATTTCAGGAACATTATAAAGCAGACAACCCGACCATCACGCCTAATTGAAGCTCCGTTTTTCGTTCTGCACACAGCTACCTGTGTCACACTCTGCATGTTCAACTGAGAGTACCTCTTCAAAAGTGTGCACCATTATCCCCATGTGAAGAAGGATCAATTATCAGTTTGGCCCCTCTCCATGGGGATAGGCTTCATGCCAGTTATGACAAATATTGTCGAAACATAAAGAAATGTTTTTTTCTTTTATTCTTTACAAATTTGAGAACTGGAAAGTACGGTTACTTTAATTTTACACACCAGCAAACGCTGATCTCGGAGTCAGGAACAGCCTGCAAAGACTCTCAAAGGACACTACTGGACAAATGATGGTACCGACCCCTTTTAGGGCCATTATCCCACATTCCAAAGTCACACATACAGCACTGTGGAGCAGAGGCACTGACCAGAATGCAAAATTAAATGAATCTTGTCTTTAGCTAACATTCACAGCGGCTGCTACGGTGCAGCAGAACTCCGTCTCTGTAGCCATTCTTCTCCTTCGCTGAGCTGCTGCTGTGAGTGTGTGTTGAGCAGAGTGCCCATATCAAACACACCAGTGACCGCCCTCATCGTCATCGTGAATGACATCATCACGAATATCTCACGTACTTTATATCTCATATCCTATAATTTACCATATTGTATTATGTTACACAGATATTTGCATCATATTCTATATAACATTTATATTATATCTCTATATCTGTACAGAAAAACACTACGTACTGACTCTGCTGCTATAAATCACACCACTGTCACTTTTCCATATGCCTATTGTGTACTATATTTTTTTCATTCTTTTGAAATTTTTGTGTTATATACCTCTTATTATTGTTTATTTAGTTGACTGTCTCTATTTATCTGTACCATTACTGTCACTGTGCTGCTGCAACAACCAGATGTCCCCTCTGGGTATCAATAATCAGATCTTATCTCATTACAGTGATGTTTTGTAGCTCACCTGTTGTTGCGGTCATGTTTATATAATGTGGTAATCAAAATGTTGGAACTTACCTGTGATGGAGAGGGAGCCACAGAAGACTCATGTTGCAACAGTTGTCATGTTGTCATGAAAAGTTAAACAGTTTGTTTACTTTTGTAGTTTTTAACATTAACCAGCAGAGGGTACAACAAAAATCTAAAGTTAAAATGTTTTTCTTGAAATTTATGTAGATATAGCTACTACAGAGTGGGCTCAATAAAAATACAATATTTTAAACTGCCAATCAAATAACTAAATAAAAAACTATTTTTGCGATGTAGCTTAGCTTGCTACTTGTCTCTTGATTAGCTTCAGTGTAGCGAAGCATCATTTAATGTGTTGTACCTGTGTAGCGTAGCTCACTGCACTTTCCAAGTAGCTCGCCCAACACAGTCACTAACTTTGTCAATGAAAACAGCTGCCGGCTGCTGGAGGCAAGGTGGATCAGAGCGAGACCGAACGGATTCTCTGTGGGCTCATCACTGTGAGACACCTCTCCTGTTAAACAGAGCAGCTTTACAACAGCATCATGACCAGTGTGCACAAACAGGAACAATTAGTGCACGGTCCACACATCAGTGTCGACATGTGGCAATGTGCCCCCCCTCCATACTGAATTAATTTGCCAGTCTGATGACTCAGGGTTTATAAAACAAAGTCCATCTGTTTTTATTTCTGTTCCATTTATTCTATTTCATTTAGCTTGGTCTGGTGGTTGCCATTTGACAACTGCAAATAAAGTGTATAAACAATGGTTCACAGAAAAGGAGAGCAGGAGTGTTAAGAAATCTGATATCAGATTTCTGCCAAGACAGTGAACCTAAATGTTTCTCTGAATGCTGATATCAGCACGTTAACATTCTCACAATGACGGTGCTAATATGCTAATACGTCGCCACCTTAGTTAAGCATATCAATATGCTAACACTTGTTAATTCGCACTAAAGACAAGTACAGCTGAGACTGATGGGAATGTCATTAGTTCTGCAAATATTTGGACAAAGTATTGCACACACTCTTATGTGGACCTGAAGATGGCCCTAGAGGACTAGTTATCGATTCATCCTGAAGGGACTTGTATGTCCGTACCAAATTGCATAGTAGCTGTTGCGGCCTTTCTCTCTGAAACAAAGTGGCAACCTCATGGACATGCTAGAGGAAGAGTCAGGAACTGGCTGACCACTGTTGGGAATGTTTTGATGAGACTTAAGGATCAGATGGAGATGTTTTTATTAACTATCATTAATTAAAATTCATGTAAACATATAGTACCTCAGGCACTTTGAGGAACCGTAAACTTGACCTTTTCACACATCTGTAGCTAGATTCTGTTTTCTCGAGCTAACCAGGCGACAACTCTACTTCACATGGACAGCTTCCTAAAAAGTCCTCACATTGTTCTAGCCAGTGCCCGTCACAGTAAAAAAAATCATGTCTAGAAAAGTTGTCCGTAGTCTCTCTGCTGTCCAACTCCCTCTCAGCTCTCCTCAGTCAGAGGCGGCGGCTGTCTGTCCAGGATGCTGGCCAGTGTTTTAAACGGCTGTCCCCAGTCACCAAGGGAGCTAAAATCCCCTGAATCGTCAATAACCCATGGCTCCTCTATGGAGCTGAGTGAGCCGGCCACCGAGCCATTGCCCTCGTAGGCGTACGTCACCAGCGAATCATAGGGCGGGGCGGCGTAACCCTGCTGACTCTCCTCCAGCCGCTGTGAAATGAACTCCCTGATCATTTCAGCATTGCCCTCAGTCATCCGTTTGTTGTTCACAATTACACTGGCCGTTTGACGATGGATGTCAGGGGACCTGACATGGTCGCAGCGGCTGCTGAGGTGCAGCAGAACCCCGTCTCCGTAGCCATTTTTCTCCTTCTTGGAGCTGCTGCTGTGAGTGCTGGTGCGCTGTGAGTGTGTGTTGCGCAGAGTGCCCATGTCAAAGGCGCGCGTGTCCGCCTCGCCGCCGCCCTCATCGTCATAGTGAATGACGTTATCACGGATGTCCTCTTTTGATGTCATCAGAGTGTCCTTCTCCTTGTGGCGCCTCTGGCCCATGTATAATGCTGCCATGACTGCAAGACAAAAGGACAATAAATGATGAGTTATTTGAAAATGATCGATCTTAGCATTATAAATCTCAGTATTTTCTGCCTGATTTTTCGTTTTAAAATCTGTATGTTGACAGTTTCTGTGATTATAGCGTCTTTTAAATGATAGCCAATATGGGTGAACTTCTCTTTGCATCACACTGCGATCAGTGGGTGACTAACTAACAATTTCTGGTTAAAGATCTCTACTTTAATAGGACCACTTACATATCCCGCTGTACTATCAAGTATTTCATGTCAGTAACAATTGGAAAAGCGGATGGATCCCCGTGTAAAGTATCCAGATGGCAGGCTCTAACACGTGACTCCCAGGTCAGATCCGAGCTAACGTGCTCTCTGTTAGAGTCTGTATGTGAGGGATACAAACTGCCAACGCTGACCGTGAGCAGCTTTGAAGATGGTGAGAAGAGGAAGCCCTGCTGCTCACTCACGTCTCAATTCCTCTTGGTACAAAGCATTGATTACTCTTTTGTCCCGGACTGCTCTCTACAGTTCTGCTGTTTCTTATCTGATCTGTGAACCAACACTCTCACATTTTGACATTAAATCACAACCCTATATGGACAATTTAAGGACATGTATTCCCAATATTTCTGATGCAATCCTAGTCATGCTGTCTCCCCAGCACATTATTACACAAAAACATTTTCTTGTAGAAGATTATGGAGTTTTATATATATATATATACGTATATATATATATATATATATATATATGACTCACAATTGGTTTGATTTTAAATCCCCAGTTCAACCCGTTCATCTAAAAAAAAATCAACCACATCACATGGTTTTCCTCAGTGGATGGAGATCTTAGTTCCATACTTGGCTCACACAATGACGACAACTCCATCCACGGAGGAATGCCATGATCGGAGGCTGAAGGCTGTGGAATAAGACTAAGTGGAAGATTCTTTTGTCAAATCTTTAGAACCCACAACTATGGTAAGTGCTTTAGTTCAGAGTAACAGCTCTGCAGAAGCTAGGAGACATTGACAAAAGACAGTTCAGCAACAACACGAATGGTAGTTCAACATTTGGGATTAAGATGAAATACAAGATAACCAATAGGACACCATCTCTCTGCCTGGTTTGACAGCTTATTGGGTATTAGAACATTAAAGACGCTGCCTCATGATAAACCAGAAGTGAAGAAGTGAAGAATTCAGTAACAGAAGTGTCTTCAATGTGTCTGCAGTGATTGCATGTATCAGTTATTTGGATATAATTTGGCGTCTTTGCCTAAAATGACTGATAGCACTGTTTTTGTGGGAATACTTCCTGTTTATTTCCAAGTGTTGTTGGTCATGAATCTGAAGTTAGCTCTGGTGTCATCACATCAAAATTGTACACGTACATGTCGATTATAGGGAATATATTGTTGCTCTCTGTCCTGGTTGATTTCTCTACCTCACTCTCTCATCAGCTCTTCCTACTTCATCTGTCCTCATCGTGTCCCGTCTACTACTGTATAATCAGCAGGAGCAAGGAAACTAAGGCCGTTGCTCTAACCAGACAATCAATGAATCTAAAGTGCCCTGTGAGGCTGCCTCCACACCGGCTAATGCCACCACTGCTGCTGCTTACTGCAATACACAGCAGCCCCATTAAACAGCTGTCTTCCTAAAGACACAGCGTTTCAGATGTTTGAATGCTGTATTTCTGTTGGTCTCAGGTGATCTTTCTGCTTTATATTCAAATTACATTACAGCACAAATTGTTGCACTTCGGCAAAGATGCCTTCGTTGGTAAAATGATGTGCACACACACACACACACACACACACACACACACACACACACACACACACACACATTTCCATTATGAACCAACTATCTGTGAGGCAGATCAGTACATAGAACGACATCCCTCGGGGTATGTGCTATAGAAACTAAACAAGGTCACGATGTAGACGAGGCGCTGGTTAATGGAGGCTGCTGGTATGTACACTAGAGCATGTGCTTTCTGCATGCTCAGCTCTTTGGGAGGCTTAATAGAAAACCATCACATGTCTGTGTCAGGGCTTTTGTGCTGCTTGCTGCAGGAGGAAAGAAGAACTTATAGTATGGTACACCTGAGGACTGTAAAAAAGGAAGCAACACGCTTCCAGAAATAATAGCAGGCACTACAGTCGGTCAGAGGGGAATTTAAAAGAGAACACAGTCTGCGATCTGTCTGGGAAAAAAATGCAGTTTATTAGCTGCCTTTGTGATTCAAGCTACAGCCAATATTCTGTTTGCTGTAGCGTGTCACAAAATAGTTCTACATGTGCAAGACATTTACAAAAAAGGGACAATATAAAGAAGCATGCAATCCAATATACTGTATAATAATAAATGTCAGAATAATGTGAAATCATTAGTTTGTGATTCAGCAGGATCAGCAACAGTACTGTGTCCTGCTGCAGACGGGAGAATAACGCTGTGTTAGCATTAGAGGAGGAGGGGAGGAGAATCTGAAAGCTCTCCAGGCTGTAAGGAACACTACTTTCTATCATTACAGACACACATACTGCCCTCCTGAGCCCCACTCAGAATAAGGCATTATGAAACAGAACTGATCATCTGGCTACCAGCAGCTCATCCAGCTCGTTCTTATTGTCTGATACCAACGCACAAGGTCCTCTTTAGTGTCTATATGAGACGCACCGACCGCTCAACTAGTCATTATTAGACACTAAATGTTACTGCAATGTAACATGTAAGTGCACTGGGTTTACAGCTATGTAGGCCGTGAGGGTTGTTGTGGGCTCTAAGTGTGATAGTGTGGATGTCTGTATATATGTATGTACTTAAAGGATGAGAGAGTCGAACACTGTACTCGAGCCTTCAGGGATGCTCTGTTTGATACTAGCCCCCTGTTGTGTTTGTTTCATATGGTGTTCCTGGTCCATTATAGCGGACTATAAATCCATAATGTTATAAACTTATGTTGTGTTAGATCTTAATAGAGGCTTTGGATCTGCGTCGTCTTCATCATGACTTCCTCCTCTACAGATCTTCACTGTTAGTTTCCTGGCCTCTCCTCAATGATCAAGAGCCTCATGTACAGAAAAGCGTTTGGTCATTGTGCTGCCACAGAATTACCTGTGATCTTTATATACTAGAGCTGCGAGAAAAGATCGACGTATTGAAAGAATCTGTTGCTTTTTGAAATGCCAACAGGTGTGGAAAAGTTCTAGTGGGGGTTGCCATGGAAGCCAAGAAGGGGAGTGAGGTGTGTGTGTGTGTGTGTGTGTGTGTGTGTGTGCTCAAACACACATTCATGTGGAGGTCTGGTAGAGGAAGTGTGTCCATCTGCTAAATGGACTTTTTACTGAACTCAATTTTAAACACTGACCGTATTCTCACCCATTCATTTCTAATGAGCGGCTGTTTCTGACCGGGAACACCTCTGCTACACCAAAGTGAAATAAAACACCCCAAATGTGATACAAATTATCACAATTTGATGTGTATTTCAATTACCTTCCTGGACATGTCATGGAACCTTATGAAAATCACATTAAAGCTACATTTTTCGGAAAGAAAACTTGTAAATTGTCTGAAGTAACAACAATATCTAGCTACAACAGGGTAGCTAGATATTCGTCACTATAAGATTAGTTTAACCTTTTGATATAGCATTTGATTCAGATGTTCAGTCATGTTACCTTCAGCCTCTTCTCTGTTGATCTGTAAGATGGTAATGTATGCCTCAGTTACTTACACTCGGGGTTATTGTTATCCAACAGCTGTCGCCAAAGAGCTGCAGCCCTTTTGAAAGACTGGGAGACAGAACCAGAGCGTGACCTATAATGGCCCCTGTTAACTTATGGATCGGTTTTATTGTCATGCTACAAATCATTGAGGGTCAGCAAAGTCCTAAAACCCTTTGAGCCTTCATAAGCCGAAAGTAGCCTTCGGTTGGGAGAACATCTCTCTGGTGGTGTCAAAGCCCTTTCAGAAAAGGTGAATTAATCGGCTTTTACGCTCAGAGCTGCTGCGCTTTAACTGCCTGCCTCGGAAGTCTGTCATCTTTTGAAATCCCTGCTTGAAATATTCTTTTAAAATATTTGTCCAGGTTTAATGTATTTTGTTCTAACTGCTGTGGCTTTTAGACTGTATCATTTTGTTCTCCTTCTGTTTAATGCATGACTCTACTTAATTTACTTTACTAAGCGTCAGCACTTCACCATTGCAGGGCCTGTCCGCAATGTGCTGCTGTGGAAAACCAAAATGCTCATCGCTCATTTGACTCCAGGGAAGTGAAGAAGAGTTCCGTTGTAATGTTAGTTTATCCAGAATCATCAGCGAACGTGAACTGCAGTCGATGAGTCAATGTCCGCTGCAGACAGCATGCCGAGGCTGCTGCTGAGCAGAGCGCTGTTTGCCTGGTTATTCAAGGTTTATTCCTAATTCCACACTGCACATTCTTGGGTCTTGTAAAGTTGATCGTATGATATGTGAAGGTTGTTCCACAGACAGAGAGACAGAGAGTTCTTGGTATATACAGTATTTGAGTCTAGTACCAGCACAAATAGTTGATTATTAGAAAATTGTATTATTATACAAAAATGCCACACATTTACTTCTCTGTTTCATATCACTGTGCACTGTGATGTCTCTGAACACTATTTTCTTGCATGTAATTGACTAAACTATTAATCAATAACTCAATAAATAATCAACAGGTTGGTCTCAAATAAAACTAAGTGCCTCGGTGCTTGAGTCCGGTCTTGATGTCCTATTGTCTGGCTTTTTTCAAATGTTTGTAGTCAGTGGACAGGATCTTATCTTCTGGCCTAGTTCTCCCCAGCCCGCCTGCTGTACTTGTGTCTTTGCCTTGAAGGTACCAAGAGAATGTTATGAAAGCCACAGGACATGCCATTCTCCAGCAAGACAACCTCTCCCTTTGTTCTGGTATGTACCAGCAGTGTCAATTTTCAATTGTACCTTTTCCAGGAAACCTTCTTTGTAAAAATATACTCTTTTTAGATTTGCCATTTTAGGCACAAATATTAAGATAGTAACACTTCAGTAATCAACACCATGCCGTCATTTCTTCAGCTCTGTTTTCATGCTTCTTCCTCTACAACAAAGTGTTACATTGCCATCCTGACAAATGAGGAAAAGCCTCGAGAAAAAGGTGGATGTGTTACCAGCTATTAGCCCATCCTCCCTTCTCCTCCTTTATGTCATCTTTCAGCTATCCTCCCTCTCTACAGAGAACACCAATAAAGAAGGCACAATGTCCTCAGGAGGCTGCGATTCTTCTCTGCCATGCTACACACACACACACACACACACACACACACACACACACACACACTCTCATGATTGGAGTGATTCAGTTGTGAGAGCAGGATAAAGAACTTCTTTCAAACTGCTTCCATTTCATAGCAGCTTTATCTGTAATGTAACACACATACCAGTTGTTTATGCACACACACACTGAAACACACCATGAGAGCTGTGTGCACGTGGCCCTGCGTGTTTCCACTGTGTTGGACAGGTGGTTATGTAACAGAGGCAGAGATAAAAGGAGATGGTAGAAGAAAAAAGACCTCCCTGAGATAATTAGAGGCTTGTTCTGGGTTGTTGACGCCCTCTAGTGTTACATCACATGCATTAATTCACCTCATCACCAGCTGCAAGCCAGAGACTTCAAAAAGTACACTGAATGAATGAAATGAAAATTAACGACATAACAAATTTACATTTTATTTTTAAAATAAAGTATAATCTGGAAAAATATATATATATTCTTTTTAAGGTCACAAAGTCACATTAACAGAAAAGTTGTATGTCATGGTCCAGTTAGTCTTCTAAAAAATGTCACGTTTTTAGACTGTAAACCAGTCCTTCAATTTGTGGCTTTAAACTACGCTACGTTTCATTACATTACGTTTCATTACATTACCTTTCATTACGTTTCATTGGATTATGTTTCATTACTTTACTAGTACACCTCAACACAACCCCAGACTGACCCTGGGCTGGCAGGTGAAATAATGAGCTGGTGTTGGGGCTATGGACAGTGTTTGGCGTTTCATCATATCATCATGTTATAGTAGAAAGATGAGCTTACCTATCAGCAGAGCTACACAGAGCAGGATAGCCATCAGAGCTCCAGTGCTGAGGCCCACAGGCAGGAAGATGGCCTCAGCTGAGCAGCTCAGCAGCGAGCCTACTCCCCTGCAGGAACACACTCGGATTGTGAGGGTGGCTGTGCTGCTCTGGGCGGGGTAACCGCTGTCTTCAACCACAACAGGGAGGACATACACATCCTGCAACCGCTGCTGGTAGATCGTACGCCGAGACACAATGCCAGCGGTGTTGTCTGGAAACCAACAGAGGGTGATGTTACGTCACTGACAGAGTCACCGTCACGCCAACCTCTGACACAAATGTGATCGACACTGGAGAATACCAAGCATTAGCACAGCTGAAGTGTTAGTCTGTCCACTTTACAATAATACTAATCTATAATAAACTAAAGTACAGGACTTTAAAACCTGCAAAAATAGCAAGAATATTGTGTTTTTTCTTTCAAAAGTCTCAATCATCTCCTGAAACTGGTCACTGACAAACATTACTTAAACAGGAGGACATAGTGTATTTGTTTTTATAATTTTATTTTTTCTTTCATTCGATAAATTTGGTGGATGTGGAATTAAGGATGTCTCAATACCCGAAAATGTGTAGTTCTCGATAGCCAATGTGATACCACGGTAAACAACTACAACAAAACAATAAACACTTTGAGCTAGTTTTAAAAAAGTTAAACGGGTCATAATTCCCTCTCCAATATCTATTTTACATTGCTGTGAAAAAAATCTCCTTCCGACATCAAGCCTCTCATCAAAAAAAGTCAATTTCCATAACTGTAGAAAAACGGGTACCGTGATATTTTCAGAATTTTGTTCTGGTGACATCACTTTGTGGGACTGAGTCAAAATGAACCACAGTGTGTGTTCATGGGAATGAAAAGGTGTGGATCTTTTATGTGTTTTCATAGTTTTTGAACAATGGAGCTCTATGGCACAGGCTTTGATACAAATAAAATACTTGTTATTAATTTGGGATTTATTGACGATAAGAAAAACATATCACCAGACCTAATGCTAAAAACAAATGCTGCAGTAACAGACTCATAAGGAAGACCCAGGAGTGTGACACATATAGTATAACAGCGTAGAGAGTGTGACAATGTGTCCTGATATAAGAAGAGAGGTTTTATATTTAAAAAACTGAAACAATCTGATGTTCACTCGACTGCGTCCAGTTAGGAAGAGGTGTGAGTTTTACAGAACTTTACATACAGAACCACTACCTGGTGGAAGTGACCACCAACAGTTAATGCAAATTCAACCCACAGTCTTTATGAAATTTCCTCCATTCTTGAGAATTGTTCCAAATGTTATTGCTCACACCCGTTTCCCTTTCAATGATGCTGTCTTTTTCTCTGCACCCTTTCAGATATCAGTAAACTTTCACTAACCTTTACCCGGCCTGAAACGTCTGTCACCTGAGACCTGTAACTAGCAGTTTGATGAATGGACGTTGTTGGATGCACTATGTGGCCCAGAAATAAGCTCCGCCCAGTTCATGGCTCAAAAATAATCGACTTCCTTCTGAAGTAACACTCATACTGGAACTAATTACATGTTTTAAGTGTTGCATTTTGATCCGCTGACCTGCTCTAAAAATTACCACAATTGAATGCAAAATAACAAAAAGAACATCACAAATTGCATCACGTTTTTAAGTAAAGGGATGTAAATTCATCTATTTGGATTCCAATAAACATAATCAACCTTAGAAGACTCAATTCACCCAGAAGACATGTAGCAGGGATTCAAATCTGATCAGAGGAACACAATGTCTGGAAAGCATTAAGAACATTTAAATGTTTATGTTTTATCACTTCCTGTTTGTTGGTTTCTGCCCATTCATCTCAGTGCTGCTGGTTCAGACCCATGATCCATGTGATCCTCCATATCTCAAAGTAGGGAAACTACTTTACTGGATAAAGCAGGTTATGCATCATGGTTCAGGTAAGGTCAAGGCTAAGATTATGCTCTTTAATACAGAAATGTCTGCAGTTTCTTGAGACGTGCTATTGAAGCAACAGTCTCTCCCTTAACGTAAAGCAGTCCTAACCACAGATGGGAGTCATGATGTGAAACTCTGCTGAGTCCCTCACTGGTGCATTCATGTAGCTCTTCATCCACTCAGAACAGCATTGCCTGTGAGCAGCCAGCAATGATGCTTTTCATCAACAGCATGGCTGGGGAAACAGCCACACACTTCTTTTCACTTTGCTATCTCAATGTCAGAACTACTGTTCTGGATCTCCTCAAACTGATGCCCTCCCAGTAGGGGAACACACTAGTGGGAAGGCGTGTGCATGAAGGTTGCAATTGCAGGTGAAATGCAGCTGTTGTCATAGTGGAAGATAAAAGATAAACACATGTAAGGTGTTTACACCCTTGTGATCCAACAGGTTCAGGGAATCCAATGTGCGAGAAAAACGTTGTACTTTGTACGGTTGGCAATCATCCGAACTGAATATAATAAAATACCACTCCTTCCAAGCTAATAGCTAAGACGTGGAAACATAATGACATTGACAGAATAAGATAAAATAGGACTGATTGGAGACCTTATAACTGCTGCCCACATCACTGTTTGCTTCAGTGACTCAAATCACAGTGTCACTGTTTTTTATCGTTTTGAAAAAGAGATGTCAAGTACTGTGCTGCATTCTCTTAGCGCATGTTCAAAGGTTCTATGGGGCAAAGGCAGCCAACAAGAACAAGAATATCATTCATTTGTTATTGGAACAATTTATGTGCACTTCATTTTTTGAAGTTTTGGAAGGTTTGAAACCTGTTTGATGCAAAGATCCAACACCAACAGTTTCACAGTAGACAAATACAAATCACTCATGAGTTCAATGAAAGCATTCTGTGAGGAAAAAGACCTTTCATAGCAGCAACCATGTGGCACACTTCTTAATACACAACACACAGGAACCTTTATGAAGTGTGAGTGTGTGTGTGTCTTAACACTGTGGTTGTATGTTGTGTGTGTTTGATGCACATATTTCTCCTTCATTGTTTCTTGTTTCTTGTTTACTTGTATTCTCTGCATATATTGTGTTATATATTTCCCACTTTTCACATAGTCTTTTATTTCTATTTATCTCATATTACTTTATGCTTGCATATAAGAGCCACTGTAACGTACCAATTTCCCCCAGGGGATCAACAAAGTATTTCAGATTCTGAGTCGACTCGACAGTCCACTGTTGGTGAATGTGCAACATCACAGCGGTCCACTATTAGATAGGTATCCAAACACACACACACACTCGCACACACGCACGCTCCAGTTCCCCTTGGTGGCTGCAGGCCTATGTGTCTGAGTCTATCAGATGTGATGTTGACTGTATATATACAAACATACAAAAACACAACAATGCTTGTTGGTGAGGTGTTGCAGGGGAAAGCAGGAAATGTCAAGGGAGGATTTGTACAAGCTGAACATCCCAGAGCAACATTCAGACTCACTCTTCATTCAGCGGGGAAGGATTTGTTGAAGCTCCCAGGGAGTGGGTATCGGAGAACATTTTAAATAGCAGCAAATGTTTTCTTTTTCTTTCAGTAGTGAATAGTAACCAAATGATAAAACCTTAGAATAAACAGGACACTGTGGCCGAGAGCTGTAAGCTCACAAAATGTTTCCTTTTTGTTGCTGCGCGTATACCTCCCACTGGTTAGTGATGACAGTCCAGCATTGACCGTGTAAAGCAGCGATGAAGCTCATCACTGACACGTCTGGAGACAACCTGTGTCATGAAGATAGCACACGCCGTTCTGCCGAGCTATAGCATTGTCAGGGACTGCATCGTTGTCAGGGACTGCAGTGCAGAGGGAAATAATTGTGCATTCAAAATTCATACAAAAGTCAATCAAATCATTCCCCGTACTGGAGGATTCTACTCTTCACAATTGACCTCAACTGCACATTCAGGAGCGATTTCAGGCGCTGACAGCACCATGACTCAAGCATCACTTGTGATGTGTTCATTAAATGTGTGAACTGCGGCTTTAAAGCAGACGAGAATAACGTTTATCTTAAATTGTTATTGTTTCATGAACATGTGGCTGAAGTCAGTATCTTCCTGCCTTCGTTTGCCACACAGCAAGCGGGGGAACAAAAAGTAGTTTGACCTCAGTTGAAATATTGTATTTGAAAGGCTGAACCCCAACAAATAAGGATTGAAGCATACTATGTCCTTCGATAAAAACATGTTGTGAATTTTGGAAATAATTATATAAATCTGTAATAGTCTATAATCATGAAGTCACGACTTTTAACTTGTTTTTCGGGCTCTTTGGGGGCAGAAACTCATTGAAAACACATTGACAAACCATCACCTGTTAAGTTGATATGACAAGCAACTAAACAGTTGTTTATCTACACATCGAGCATTTATGGAGCAATATTATTAATAATTTGTAATTGCGTTCAGGTGAACTTTGCAAAAGTATGTCCAATATTCCCATTCTCTCTTTTAGCTCAGTTTTTGGTCTCTACCAACTCCTGAAGCTAAATGCTCCACTCTGTTCACCAGCTGGCCTCTGACTTTGTTTGTCTGCTGGTTGCTGTGAGGGCACAGTGGGCTTTTAGAGCTTTCACTGGAAACAGCTGCTTGCTGCCGCTGAAAACAAAGCTGTGACGATGAGTGAACCAATGCCTGAGAAGAGACGGCCAAAAGAGGAGCTCTAGGTTCATCACTAAGAGCAACTCCTTCTTTCAAATGTTCAATTGATACATTGTAGTTATAAAGATATAGACTTCAAAGTGCTTTGCTAATTAAAGAAAATAGTCATCATACAACATGTAACCATCTTCTTCTTCCCCTTTAATCCCCATTCTTGCTTACTTCCAAAATCTCGAACGGTGAAGTTCCTGTTGCGAAGCTCTTTGGGGGACTTGAAGAAGAACCTCTGGCCAGCAGGAGGAAGGTCCTTGTCCACAGCGCTGACTGTCTGGATCACCTGGTTAGGAAGCGAACAGAGAAAGGTTCCCTTATTCAGTGTGCTAAGTAAATCCTATGTATTTAAATAACACAGTTGTTTAGTATTTGCTAATATAGCACATCATCTCAAGCAGATACAGTTCCGTTTACCTGTCCTACTCTGGAGTTTTCACAGACAAAGGTATCTGAAGGAACCGCCAGCTCAGGAGGGAACTCGTTCACATCCAGGACGTTGACAGCCACCGACAGTTTAGTATACAGCAGAGGGTTGTCTGTAAGAGACATGAAGCCATATATGACTACACACTCAGTGGCACAGCCTCATGTCTCAATACAACACACTGACAGTCTATCAGTGTGACCAGCAGAAATCAAACATCAAGAAAAAGGGCTTCGTTTCAGGTCATTGTAAACTAATGAAGAAAAAGTTAGGAATAATATATTCCATTTCTGCCAATTAATCCCCCTAAGTGTTGAACTTTTGACTCTGACGGGTCCAAGGTCTCCTACGTGGTTGGATTACTGCGGGGAAGGGCTTTGGACTGGGCCGCGAGAACATTAAGTGTTGATCGGCCAAATGCTGTGCTTTTTGTGGAGGATCTGAGGAGGGTTTTTGACCCTCCGGTGGACTCAGACTATATGGCTAAGCACCTTCTCAACCGCAGCCAGCTCCTGTTCCTGCCGCCGCCGTCTCCGAACCGCAGCGACCTCCAGTCCCGGCCGCCACCGCCGTCTCCGAGCAGCAGCGACCTCCAGTCCCGGCCGCTGCTGCCGTCTCAGAGCAGCAGCGACCTCCAGTCCCGGCCGCCGCCGCCGTCTCCGAGCAGCAGCGACCTCCAGGCCCGGCCGCCGCTGCCGTCTCAGAGCAGCAGCGACCTCCAGGCCTGGCCGCCGCCGTCTCCGAAAAGCAGCGACCTCCAGCGCCTGCTGCTGCTGCCGTCTCGGAGCAGCAGCGACCTCCAGTTGCCGCATCGACCTCCAGCGCCTGCCGCCGCTGCCGTCTCGGAGCAGCAGCGACCTCCAGCGCCTGCTGCCGCTGGACCAGCATCCTATTCCCCGGAGCCCCGACTCAGAGAGTCCAAGTCCAGCCCGCCTGAGCATCCGTGTCGGAAGCAAGTTCGGCAGTCTGGCCATTCGCCGGAGCACCCGTGTCCGGAGCCCGTCTGCCCGCCCGGCCGTCCGCCGGAGCACCCGTGTCCGAAGCCCGTCTGCCCGCCCGGCCGTCCGCCGGAGCACCCGTGTCCGGAGCCCGTCTGCCCGCCCGGCCGTCCGCCGGAGCACCCGTGTCCGGAGCCCTTCTGCCCGCCCGGCCGTCCGCCGGAGCACCCGTGTCCGAATCAAGTCCGGCCGTCCGCCAGAGCACCCGTGTCCGAAGCTCTTCTGCGGCCCCGTGGCTGGTCAAATCCAGTCACCCATCCTCCGGGCCCCCTCCGCCCACCCTGGTTGGCTTTGTATCTGCTGGGACATCCCTCCTCCGGACCCCCTCTCCGCCCACCCTTGTTTGTTGTTCTGGACGGTGTAGCCACGTCTGGAATCCGTTCCTTGGGGGGGTGGTACTGTCAGGATCCCTGTCAGACCAGACACCTCCCATGGCCACACAGCTGCAGCCACTCCAGCCGATTACCTCCTGGAGGCTGACACACCAGACTCAGGTCCCACTAACGCTTTCCCTGGCACTATATAAACTCTGGTCCTGCAGTCTGGGGTGGTCAGGTCGTACCGTCTTTCACCCGCTTCAACCCCTTCAACCCCGTTGCATCTTCGGCCTCGAGCGCCTGCCTCCAGTGTCCGTCGGTCCGAGAATCCCCCGTGCCCTCCGTTGTGTTAACGGACTACACACCGCCGCTCTGCCCTCCGTTGTGTTAACAAACTACACACCGCCGCTCTGCCCTCCGTTGTGTTAACGGACTACTCACGCCGTCAGTCTGCCTACTCTCTGGTATCGAGCCACGGGACATCACGCCGTCAAGCTGCCAGCCCTCCGGTGTCAAGCCACGGGACTCACGCCGTCGATCTGCCTACTCTCTGATGTCGGACAACGGGCTCCACACCTTCCTGTCATCTGTACTCTGGCTAAATAAAGTCTGTTTCACCGTACTCTGTCTCCTGTGGTCTTGCGTTTTGGGTCCTACCCGTGAACTCCCGTGACAAGATGTGTGATTTTTTTTTTTAAGTTTTCTTTTTACTTTTAGACCTACCCATTATCTGTCGCTAAATTATATAAGCAGCTCACTGAACATAATGTAAGCATTTCACTAGTGCTGGTGTCTAAATCATGTTTCACTTGCATTCATCACATTATTTTACATGCCATATGATTCAGCCAACCCCCAAATGCTGCCGCTGTGTTCTGATTGGTGACATTTGTAATATCAGCTTTGGCCACGAGATAGAGCCAGATAGTAGTCAGAGCGGAAATGATCCCCAGCTGTGTGTGTGTGTGTGTGTGTGTGTGTGTGTGTGTGTGTGTGTGTGT